TAGGTCAAAAAAGGTTTTTGGTAGAGTTTTCTTTTTTTTCTTCCTAATTTGTTCCACACTAATATAGACCTTTTCTACATCTACAATGGCATTAAAGTCCCCTATTAAGCAAATATTTTCTTGACCCATACTAATTATTTTATCGTATAATCTCTTATAGAACTCCTTTTGATTATCATTAGGGGCATATATCCCCACCAATAATATTTGTTTTTGATACATATTAATTTGTACCATTAGATATCTACCTTATTTATCTGCGTAAATTTGTTTTACATTTATCCCTTTTTTAACATAAATTACTACCCCCCCCCCTTTTTTTTTTGATCTGCCAATGCTGTAAATAGTACACCTAATTTGGGGCAGTCTAGATATTTTCTGTTGTTTTTGGATATGTACTTCTTGTAAACATATAATATGTACTTCTTGTAAACATATAATATAACATATTTTGTTTTGTTGATTCGTTCAATATTTGTTTTCTCTTAATCTGGGAGTTCAATCCATTGATGTTTATTGAGAGTAATTTAATTTCTTCTTCCATTATCGAGTATAGGTCTGTCTCAATCTTCTGTTGACTCTTGCTTCTCTTTGTGGTCTTGTTCTTAGTCCTTCTCTTTTTGATTGTTCTCTCTCTTCTTTACCTTTCTCTTCTTGTTCCGTTTCCCATGTTTCCTGTTACTGGTCTTCTTGTTGGTCCTCCTGACTCTTACGTTCCAGCTCTTCCTTACTACTCCCTTCTTCTTCTATTTCTACCAGCTGGTCATAGAATTCTAGCACCTTGTCGATGTTTTCAATTTTTATTCTTCTTTCTTGCCACATCACCAGCATTCCTTCTGGCACCAGCCATCGGAACCAAATATTTTGTATGTTCAGAAGTGCCGCCAGAGATCTATAATCCTTCCTTAACTTTCTCACCCACCTCGGGATCTGTTTTAAGGTCATGATTTCCTTTTCTTTATAAACCACCGGCTCATCCTTTGTAATTTTATATACAATATTTCTCACATTTTTCCTGGTGAACCTAATGTGGACCTCCCTTGGCAGTGTATTTTGCCTCACGTAATTTGTGTAGATTCGAAAAACCTCATCAAGTTCTTTTACAATCTCTTGTTGGTCCCTCTGCAATGCTTCTGCTATTAATTGAGACATTATGGCTCCTAGATCTTCATCCTTCGATTCTGGGACATTCTGGAACCACAAATAAAATGCTGTGTGTTCCATTTCCAAATGGATTATCGAGTCTTCCAAGTCTCTGTTCATCTCTGTTACTTTTCTGTCCATCCCTTCCAGTCTCTTATCTGTTTGTTCTGCTTTAATTTCTATATTTATTATTTTCTATTTAGCTTCCATTACAGTTCTCCAACAATTTGAAAGTATAAACTGTGGTGGTACAGTGATTAGAATGCAGTATTGCAGACTAACTCTCTGCTCACTATCAGGAGTTCAATTCTGACTAGCTCAAGGTTGCCTCAGCCTTCCATCCTTCTGAAGTTGGTAAAACGAGGATTCAGATTGTTGGGGACAATATGCTGACTTTGCAAACCACTTAGAGAGGGCTATAAAGCACTATGAAATGGTATATGATGATGATGATGATGATGATGTTCATCCATCGTGTTCGAAGAGGACCTTGACATCTAACAGGTCCAGGTGTGTCTGCAGGTGGCTGTTAAGGCCTATACAGGCACAGAATGTTCTGCCACATGTCAGGCAGATGTGTGGACACCATTGTTGCAGCATTTGCAGCTCTGGCTTTGCGGAGTGCTCGCTTCTCTTGTGCTATGGTTGTTCTTCTGTTTTCAAATGTCTGATAGCCTTGGTGGATCAATGTGCACCATGTCAATCGATCTTGTACCAGGGTTTCCCAGGAGGTGGTGTCGATATCCAGAGACTTGAAGGAGGCTTTCAATGTGTCTTTATATCTCTTCCCTTGTCCTCCGTGCAATCACTTTCCTTGAGACAGCTCACCATAGAGGAGCTGTTTAGGGGTGCGATGGTCTGGTATCCTTGCAGCTGGGCCTGCCCAGCATGTCTGGGCTTTCATCAGCAGGATGTGAACTGATGGCAGGCCTGCTCTGAAGAGGACTTCTGTATCTGGCACCTTGTCCTACTACCAGATCCTCAGACATCTATGGAGGCAGGCCATGTGGAACTGGTTCAATTGCCTAGTGTGCCTCCTATATACTGTCCAAGTCTCACTGACATACATCAGGGTAGTTAGCACTATTGCTCAATAGACTTTGAGCTTTGTAGCAAGACTTATTCCATGGAGGTTCCACACGTTGGTCAGTACTGTGCCATATGCAGAGCTTGCCTTGGTGATTCTGCAGTTAACCTCAATGTCAATTGTCACTGTGCAGGAAAGGTATGTAAATTGGTCCACTGCTTGCAGTTTTTGTCCCTTCTTTGTGATGGTGGGCTCTTGGTGTTGGGCATTTGGAGCTGGCTGGTGTATCACTTCGGTCTTCGTTGTGTTAATGAGGAGGCCAAAGTTGTCGTATGCTGCAGCGAATTTATTTATTATTTATTTTATGTATTTATTTAGCTGATTTGTCAATCGCTTACATAAGATAATAGATATAAGAATAAACATGAATATGAATACAGGAAATAGGTATGAATAAATGGGGACAATAGGACAGGGACGGTAGGCACGATTGTGCACTTATGCACGCCCCTTACAGACTTAGGAATGGGGTGAGGTCAATAGTAGATAGTTTAAGGTTAAAGGAGTGGGGGTTTGAGGATGTAACAACAGAGTCAGGTAGCGCATTCCAGGCACTGACCACTCTGTTGCTGAAGTCATATTTTCTGCAATCAAGTTTGGAATGATTTACATTGAGTTTGTATCTGTTGTGTGCTCTTGTATTGTTGCAGTTAAAGCTGAAGTGGTCATTGATTGGTAGGACATTGTATCAGATAATTTTGTGTACTACGCTTAGGTCCAACCATAGGCGGCGTAGTTCTAGGTTGTCCAAGCCCAAAATTTCAAGGCTGGTGGTGTAGGGCAGAAGAGTGTAGTGCTCTTCTCGTTAAATACTTCTGGACTTACTCAATTGTATTAATGTACGATATACAGTGTGGATTCCAGATACATGATCTGTATTTGAGTATTGGTCTAGTAAAGATTTTGTATGCCCTAGTTAGTAATTCAATATTACCAGAGGAGAAGCTTCATAAGATTAGATTTACAACTCTTAGTGCTTTTTTGTCAGTGCTGTTACAGTGAGGTCTGGTGCTTAAGTCATTTGATATGAGTACTCCAAGATCCTTGATAGAGTGAGGGTTGTCAGTGAGGTCATATCTGCCTACCTTTTATTTGGTGTACTGATTTTTTTTTTAATCAATGTGTAGGACAGAGCATTTGTTGGTCAAGATTTGGAGTTGCTAATTGACCATTCAGACCATTCAGACACATTTGTCCACACTGGCTTGCATTTCCTGCTCTGATCCAGCATTCAGGGCACAGTCATCAGCAAAAAGAAGGTCATGTAGCACACTCTCCTTTATCTTGGTGACAGCCTGGAGTCTTTTAAGTGGTATATACTCCAAAGTGGTATATAAGTCTAAGTGCTATTGCTATTACTATAAACCAAAACATGCCAGAACAATATATTTATGAAGAAGAATTGTGGTTAATAAAAGAAAATATTTTTAATAACTTAAACATTGCCTCTTAAATTTGTGGAAGAAACATGGAAAATATAGGAAATATAATTATAGCATTTTGGGATTTCTGTCAAGAAGTGAAATTAACAGCACAATCTTAATATGCAAATTCATAGGGTGAATGTAATTCAAAGAGTCCATCACAGGGGGGTGAGTCTGCCTACCGAGATAAGGTAGACCTGTTGCTTTTGTGGTGTGGAGACAATAACTTGGTCCTCAACACCAATAAGACCAAGGAGCTTATAGTGGATTATAGAAGTAACAGATCAGACATCCAGCCCTTGCTTATCAATGGAGACCGAGTGGAGCAAGTGGCCAGTTTTAAGTTTCTGGGTGTTACCCTAAAAGGGGACCTGACCTGGGGTGCCCACATTGCAGCCCTGGTCAAAAGGGCCCAGCAGAGATTATGCTACCTGAGACTTCTCAGAAAACAACAACTGAATGAGAAACTGCTGGTAACCTTCTACCGCTGCACCATAGAGAGCATTTTAACATACTGCACCTCTGTATGGTTTGCCAATTGCACAGTGGCAGATAGGAAAGCACTCCAGGGGGTTAACGTCATTGCCTAGAAGATTATTGGTTGCCCTCTCCCCTCTTTGGAAGAGCTTTATAGCTCCTGCTGCTTTAAGAAAGTTCAAAACATTCTCAAAGATCCGTCTCATCCTGGGAACCCTTTTTTTGAACTATTACCATCTGGCAGATGGTACAGAATAATAAAAACAAGGACAAATAGGCTGAAAAACAGCTTCTATCCCGGGGCAGTAGCTCTTTTGAATCCTACTGTATAGTCCAGTGTTGGTGTGGTGTTGGGAGTTTTCGGTTCAATGTGTGAAGGCTGAATGATGTGTGTTTGTGTTTATTTTCATGGTCATGGTCATGATATACACTGAAGATAGTATTTGATTTCGTTGAACGAGGTGCAATGACAATAAAGTAAAGTAAGTAAAAGTCAACTAGAAGTCCTTGGCAAGCCCATGAAATTGGAGCACAAGATAGAAGAGGTGGGCTAGCATGTCTGTGGATCCCCTGAATCCAGTAATTAGACTTCCCAGTTGGTTTCAGTAGGAAAGTGTGTTTGAAACAATAACAACTTTATATTTTGAAAAACTACTCATCTTCAATTCTTACCAAGATTTTATAAGTATAAGATCTTTAATTTCTTATTACCTTATGTCTGCTTTTTTCCTCTAACTTACAATTGCTGTACTGGTTATTCAATAAGTCTTTTGCTGATATGTCTCCAAACATATTTCTTCCTAGATATAGCATAGACCTATGTATTTTATTTTTATCTGGACTTATTTTTAAAAACATTTTATTTTAAGATGGCCTGGCATTCTTTCTCCTGATCCTATTGATGGACAGTATGTGAAATACGATTTTAATGGACATGTTGAAAGTCATCATGTAGAGTTTCTGGGGAATCCCCATTCCAGGAGTTGGACTTCCATAAAATACATTGATCCTTATCCCAGTTCATTTAAGGTAGGTTAAAAAAAACAACCTCCAGATAAACCATTACATTAAATTATTTAAATTCATAGGTTGCCTCTTATAGTCAGGTAAAATACAGATTTTTTTAAAAAGCCACACTATTGATATACCAATACATAATGAAACTATGAAATGGTTTGTGTCATTTACTAAAAACGTATAATAAATTAATGCTAATAGTTTGGGTTCCAAGGAATCTTGACTGACCATTCAATAAATTACAGGTATTCTTTATGTGCTAGATAAATAATTTTTAGGATAATCCAAAGCATATTAGAGTCCTACATGAAAGAATTGTGCTATATATTCAGGCTGGTTTTAGAAAATAACATTATTTCTGATGCATACTGCATAATTAAGAAATGATACTAAAAAAAGTCAATATATGCTTCATTGATTAAAGAACGGTCTTCAATTATACTGCAAGTAGTATGATATGCTTAGAAAAAATAGGAAACTCAAAACATCTCATTGTCCACATGAAAAATTTATACACAGAATAAGAAACCACAAGTTGGAAGGAACATAATGAAATAGGTTGGCTGAAGGTTGTGAAAAGAATGAGAATTGATCCTTATTCAATTTATATGCTTAATATATATTGAGTAGGAAACTCCATTGGAAGTTATAGCGGTTGTCTGATTATGGCAAGAGAATTGCTAGGCCCAACAACCCAAAAAGACATGTGGAATTACTTCTGAAAAGTTTTCTTTACTGTTCTTCATCTGTAGACAGAAATTTTGCCAAAGTAAAGCAACTATTTGTATCACCATATTGTAGATAAAATCTGAGAACTGCTATGGAGGATCCTTATTAACTCTCTTTCTTCCAACCAAACTATTTAAGCTTTGCTGCCCTTTTGCCCTCTGGATTTCATCCCCTTCCTCCTGGGAATCCAGACTACATTCCACCAAAGGAATGGTGTTAACTTCCTCCAAAGCCAAACCACTATGTCATTGCCCCAGGACAAAACCAGATTTAGTGAGTGATTTCTGTTGTAGGTTGGACCATTAATAAATTAGATCAGATCCACAATTGTCATGGTGGCCATTAATTTCAAGCCACTTCTGAGCCCAGGTCCAATGAAACCAGGTTGAAGTCTCTTAGGACCATAAGTCTGGAAAACTTCATCAACAAATTTATTTATTTACTGGTTTTCTGAACTATTGGGAACGGTAATGAACTGGTAGAATCCCATCCCTGAATTGTGCCCTGCTAGGGACCCACCTCCAGCACTCGTCTACCACTCCCCTTGCCTCTTAGCACCTCCCTCCACCCCCTTGCCTCTTAGCGCCCCCCCTAAGTGATCCCACTGCCCCCCAGGGGGCAGTACTGCCCACTTTGGGAAACACTGCAATAGACTATGGCCTATGGCCAATTGCACAAAGGGAATTTCACATTCAGTTATGAATTACAGTATGTCTGGCACAGTATCCCTAAAGGCCACCAGAGACTCATTGTAATTGCATGTAGGAATTACAAGGGAGACAGGTGAAAGAGCCATAGACAGTCAGTCAGTCATAGACAGCCAACAGTCAGAAAAGCAGCAGTGAGAATGTGGGATAAAAATATCTCAGAAGAGACCCACCCTAGCTACTTGGACTGTAAGAGTGGAAAAGAGAGTTATATTTTCAGACTTGCAAGATTCTGTTAATGTCACTTACAATAAAGTTAGAGCAAGTACTTCTGGGTGTGCTTCTTTTCTGGACCTTCCACATTTGAAATTTATGAATTATCAAATTAAATGCACCACCTCTAAGTACTACATAATCATTAATTATCTCCCCTTTTAAATCCCATTAAACATTTAACTTTTTATTATCTAAAACATTAAAATTAATTATCCCTTTAAAACTACAAAGCATATATAAATCAGATTCTGCATGGTTTTTCCCCGTCTTAATTCCATAAGATTTGTTTACAATTTCAAAAAAAGAAGACATTAATCTACTCATTTGATCCTGAACCCTAATGTTAATTCCATTTCAGCTCTCCTTCTATATCATTTCATTTATTTCAATATATTTAATACACATATTTCTTACAATTATTTCAATACATTTAATAAACATATTCCATTAGTTATTGCAGTTATCTCTATACATTACAGATTTACAGATAATCAGAGTTGGAAGGGACCTTGTAGATCATCTAGTCCATTTTTCTACAGTGCAGAAAAGTATTCTGAGATTGAAAATATAGTTGGGGAAACACTACATTTCAATATGACCTTCTGAGAAAAAATAACTTGTACTAGAAAGAAAGTAGTTATGTATGTCTTACAAGCTTATCTGCTGGACTTAATGGCAAATCAATGCTTGAAATGGCTTAAACGTAAGCAGATAACAGATAATCAGAGTTGGAAGGGACCTTGTAGGTCATCTAGTCCAACCCCCCGCCCAAGCGGGAGACCCTACACCATTTCTGACAAATGGAAGTCCAATCTCTTCTTGAAAGTCGCAAGTGATGGCGCTCCCACAACTTCCGAGGGCAAGCTGTTCCATTGGTTGATTGTTCTCACTGTCAGAAAGTTTCTCCTTGTTTCCAGGTTAAATCTCTCCTTGTTCAGTTTCCATCCATTATTCCTTGTCTGGCCTATAGGAGCTTTAGAAAATAGCTTGACCCCCTCCTCCCTGTGGCAGCCCCTCAAATATTGGAAGACCGCTATCATGTCTCCCCTGGTCCTTCTCTTTACTAGACTAGCCAAGCCCAGTTCCTGCAACCGTTCGTTGTGTGTTTAGCCTCCAGTCCCCTAATCATCCTGGTTGCTCTTCTCTGTACTATTTCTAGAGTCTCAACATCTTTTTTATAATGTGGTGAACAAAACTGGATGCAGTACTCTAGGTGTGGTCTTACCAGGACCTTATAGAGTGGTATTAGTACTTCCCTTGATCTTGACTGTATCCCTCTGTTAATACAACTTAGGATTGCATTAGCTTTTTTGGCTGCTGCTGCACACTGCTTGCTCATATTTAGCTGGTTGTCCACTAAGACTCCAAGATCCCTCTCACAGTTACTGCTATTGAGCCTGGTTTCATCCAGTTTATATGTGTACTTTTGGTTTTTCTTGCCTAAGTGTAGGACTTTACTTTTCTCTATATTGAATTTCATTTTATTAGATATGGCCCAGTGTTCTAGTCTGTCAAGATCCATTTGGATCTTGAGCCTATCTTCTTGGGTGTTAGCTATTCCTGCCAGCTTAGTATCATCTGCAAATTTGGTAAGTTCCCCTTCTATTCCCTCGTCTAAGTCGTTAATGAAGATATTGAAGAGTACTGGGCCTAAGACGGAACCTTGTAGCACCCCACTGCTTACTTTCCTCCATGTAGACTTAGACCCATTAAGGACTACTCGTTGAGTACAGTTTGCCAGCCAGTTGCAAATCCATTTAGTGGTGGTGCTATCTATTCCACTTTTTTCTAGCTTACTAAGAAGTAGATTGTGGTCTACTTTATCGAATGCCTTGCTGAAATCTAAATATATTATGTCCACAGTATTTTGCTGGTCTACTAATTTAGTCACTGTGTTGAAGAATGAAATAAGATTGGTTTGGCATGATCTGTTTTTAACAAACCCGTACTGATTGCTAGTTATTACTTGTTTCTAGGTGTTGGGAAATCTTTTTTTTTTATTATTATCTTTTCCAGTATCTTTCCGGGTATTGATGTTAGGCTGATTGATATTAGGCTGATAGTTTCCTGGGTCTGTTTTTTTTCCCTTTTTTGAAGATGGGAACCACATCAGCTCTTTTCCAGTCTTCTGGTAGTTCCCCGGTGCTCCAGGATTTTTGAAAGATATGGTGCAGTGGTTTTGAGATGACCTCTGCCAGCTCCTTTAAAACTCTGGGATGTAATCCATCAGGCCCCGGTGATTTGTTTTCATCAAGATCAGACAGGTATTCTCTTACTATTTTTTTGCTTATTTTAACTTTTATTTCTGGTCTGTCTTTTACAGTTATGTTTTTGGTGGGTTGAGCTATAGTTTCTTTTTGTGTGAAGACAGATGCAAAGAATGAGTTAAGCAGTTCTGCTTTCTCTCTGTTGCCTGTTACTTCCTTGCCATCTTCTCTCTTTAGTGGACCGACTGTTTCCTCGATTTTTTTCTTGTTATTTATATGTTGGAAGACTTTTGTTGCAAGTCTTTGTTCGTTCTGAGCCTTTGCTATCCTGACTTCGTCTTTGCAGATTCTGGCTATCTGCTGATATTCTGCCTTAGTTGTACGTCCTTCTTTCCATTTTTTGTACTTGTCCTTTTTTTCTTTCAATTTGCCAGAGAGATCTTTGTGTAGCCATGCTGGTTTCTTCTTGGATTTCTTGTTTTTCTTTCTCAAAGAAAAGAGCTTAAATTCCACTATCAAAAAGTAACAGTTCTATTTCCCATCTTATCAGTCTATGTGTCCCTATTTCATGACTTTAAATTTGTTTATGCTACCCCCCCCCCCCCATCACCTTGCAGAATCCCTTTTTAAATATTAATCAGCCATTATCTCTGTGTCTTTTAATTAAGCAGTTTTTTCCATTTTTTTACAATTCCCATATTTCTTTGTTTCCAAATCCTGTTTCTTATCCCTTCTTTCCCCTTCCATTTACCCCTTTATTCTTTCTCTCCAGTTTTTATCTCCCTCTCTATTTATAGCTTCCTTCCGCCCTTCAACTTTCTGCTGATTCTTTTTATCTTTTTTAATTTTCCGGATATTCCCCTCCTTATTTAACTTCTTACATCTATTCTTATTTCCACTCTTTTCCTCCTTCTTTCCAGAATTCTTTGTTCTTGGTGGTAATTAAAAATGGCATCTTCTCCGTTGAGCTGCTGCGAGCATCCAGATAATGGGAGGTGCTCTAGTCTTCGCTCTGATAGGCTGAGCTATAAATTGAAGGAACTCTCCTCCTCCTCCACGTGACATCTCCACGCATTCCCCCAGTTTTTAGCTCAGCCTCGCAGAACAGGCAGCTTTAGCTTTTCGCTCCTTGGCCGAATTGGGATTTATCTCT